TGCTGGCACACGTGCTCGGCCCGACGGATCTGCTGCCGGTTCTGCCAGATGATCTCAGCCAGCTTCTCACACCTGAGGGCCAGGCCCAGTTAGTGCTCGGACAGGGCCCAGGGGAGACGCTCAATGCCCTTCAGTTCTGTGTGCAGGCCTCCTGCCCCTGGCCAGGCCTTCTTCAGGATGGAGCTCCCTATCTGGCCAGTCCCCACTGCCCCAGACACAGGGGACCCCACTCTGGAGGGCTCCAGCCAACGCCTGGGGCTCAGCCGCACAAGAGAACCAGCAGCGCAGCCTGATCCCGAGCAAAGAGAGATGCCTCCCCTCGCCGGCACACACCCAGCAAGCATCATGTCTCTCTGGGGCTGGCCCACCTCAGGGCCACTGCTCAGATGTGGGGCACAGCCAGTGACTCCCTGAACCCAGGGCTCTCCTAGTGCTGTACGGCTCCTTCCTGGCCAGTATTCACCATAACCATGCTCAGACTGACCAGGAGTACTCTGAGACCCAAGACCCGAGCTGCCTTGCCCCACAGGGCCCTGAGCCCCACTGCCAGCATGGCAGATGGCGCAAGGTGGGACACACCAGGACTGCAGCATGTCCAGGGTGCCCTCTGGGGGGCCACCATTCCCCGCCAGCTGCTGCCGCCGCTTCCACTGGATCAGCTCATCGTCCAGGATGGTCGTCTGCTGTTTCCGCAGCAGCTGCAGGGTTTTCTGGTGCTTCTCAGCCAGCTCCTGCAGGGAGTGGGGCAGGGATGTCACTGCTGGGTGGTAGCAGACCTAGGGCAGGGCTGGGGAGGGCTGGGGTCACCCCAGGCCCTGTGGGGGCTGGGCCAGTACTCACCACACGATACTGCTGTAGTGTCTGGGCCTCCCGGTGCAGCCAGGCCTCCAGCGATGCCTTCTTCTGCTGCAGTGTCGTCTCCCGGGACATGCGCTCCTGGGGACCCAGCTGTGAGAGCTGGGAGAACTGGGCTGGGGAGGAAGCAGAGTGTTAGGGCCAGCCCAAGCCTCACTGGTACTGGGGGATCCCTGACCCCTCACTGATCCTTCAGGGGCCCAGTGCTGTCCTGGTTCATCCAGAGGGGAAATGTGCTCCCCAGGCCCTTGCCCTGGTGAGGTGACACCATGGGCTGGCAGCTTTAGGCACTGGGGACTCCCAGGCTGTGTTGTGACAGCAGGCCCTGGGGTTTAACTGAAAAGGCTCCAGCCCCTTTCCCCTTGTGCCACCTCCCAGGGCAGCATCTCACCTGCAACTGCACTGGGCAATTGGAGGACAGAGTCTGTGCCAGCCCCAGCCCCAGCCAGGCACCTGGCACTCCCTGGCTCAAAGATGGTGGAAGTCACTGAGACATTTGTTTGCTCAGGTGGGGCCTCCTCAAGGCTGTGAACCTGGAGTGAAACTGCCTCTACCCTGGGGGTCCTGCCCCTGGGGCTTCCCCTGCACTCCTCTGCATTGGCCACAGTGGATCCCCCTGCCCCACCTTGAAGGCGCATGTTCTCCTGGTACTGGATGATGAAATACTCCTGTGTCTGCTGCAGCTTCTTCAGCTCATTCTCTGTGTCCTGGGTGAAGAGTCTCAGCTCCTCAAAGATCTGGTTTATCTGCAGGTGCTTCTGGGACATTGTGTCCACCAGGCTGCCGGCTGGGGATGGGCTCTGCTGAGATGGGGGGTCCTCAGGTCAGGGCAGGAATAAGCACATCCCCATACCCCAGGGCAGGGGCTGCAGGGCTTGGGGACAGGAGCTAGTCCCAGGAAGCAGAGACCCCTACAATGGGCAGTGACGGGGGTCACTGGGATGGCAGGGTGTGACGGGGATCAGTTTTGTCTCTGTGGAGTCAGTGCCTCCTCCAGGCTGGGGGCTGTTCCCCATCGTGGCACCCCCAGAGTGACGAGGAGAGCTGCAACCCCTCCCCCACCTGTCCAGATACTCACGTTAGTGGCCTCTCGCACCAGCCTCTGCTCATGGTACAGGATGTGCCGGATGCAGCGCACCAGGTCCATGGGGCATCGGTCGTACGTGTTCTGTAGGGACAGAGAACCCAGGCCTGAGCCAGGCACAGAGCAAGCCCAGCTGGGGACCCCTACTGCCCTGTCACTGCCACCCACCTGTGCCAGGACACAGGGCTGGCACCGTCTGTGCCAGGCATGGGACGATGAGGCTCTTATCAGGAAGCAGCACCCAGCCCTGCCCTACCCTCTTTGCAGCCCCCCGCCTCTTAAGGCATATTTGATAGAGGGTCACTCCTGGACCCCACACAGCTGGGACAGTACGCCCCATCAGCAAAACATGAGCCTTGGGGGTGGGGGACATGCCCTTGGTGTGCGAGAGAGCTCAGCACAGAAAGGGTCTAGGGCAGCAGTGAAGAGCTCTAAGGACATGTTGGCCCCTCACAACAGAGGAAAAGAGAGCAAGAGATGCTAGGGGTCTTCTGTCATCCCCCACAACCCTGCCCTGATCTGCTCTCATCCCATCCCTGGCAGTCACACTGCCATCCCAGGCTCTGGGCACCAACCTGCAGCTGTGTGGCATAGTTCCCCAGCTTAATCTTCAGCAAGAAGCCATCCTCGCCCACTTGGTGCTCTGCCTTCTTCTGCAGTTCCTGGACAAGCCCATCTAGCAACTGGGTGGCTTTGATGCTGTCCTGGGGGTTATCAATGTCAATGGAGTCCCTGGCACAAAGAGAGATGGGCAGAAGGACAGATGTGAGAGGGCATCTCAGAGGTTAGCCTGCTTGCTCTGTGGGCCACAGCTCATAGCAGAGATGACCCATGATAACACAGTAGATGGTGTTCGCCTCCCCACCCCCCATCCCCACCCCCAGTGAGGATGTTGAGAGCTACTGCTCTCAGGTCTTCAGCCTTCATATGCTGGTGATCCTGCAGGTTTGCATGCAAAGCCCAGAACAAACAGGTGTATATCCCAAGTCTGGCTCCACCTTTGCCCCTGTCACCCTATCCCCAGACAGTGAGGGGCTGCCATCAGAGCACACAGGTGTTTAACAAAGGGACAGGCCCAGAGCACTTGAGTGACTGGGCCAAGGCTGCAATCAGCAGGCAGTGGAGCTGGAAGAGGGCCTTTCCAGGTCTGGGCTGGCTTCACTCAAGCCACCAGGCTGTGCACCACCCAGCCATGGCACTTTCAGATCCTGTGATGGTTTAATGCCTCAGGGGTGGGCATAAGGCTTTAAAATCCTCCTCCCCCTTTCTGTATGCTAATGGCACTTCCCCTCCTGCCAGCGTTGCCAGGAAGGCCAGTGAAACGGCCCCTCTGAGCTTCCTCATAACAGCCCAGATCCTTCCCTCCCACCCAGGCCTGGCTGTGAGATGGTTGAGAGCAGGCAGGCTGCCTGGCTGCAGGGGCAGTTTACAGGATAGTGACACCATATTGGAGACAAGGGGCTATCAGCTGATATCCAGAGCCAAACCCTTCTGGTTGGGGCTGGAAGGCTGACAATAGAAAGTCCAGTTCGCTGGATGGGGTCTTCCCAAGGTAGGTAGCATCTGGGGTTACTTTGGCTCTCAATTACTGTTTGGGGCAGGCAAAGATGTTTCTGGGCAAAGCCAGGGAGTGTCAGCATAGCCATCGGCCAGGCTCACCTACCATGCTTGGCTCTCAATCCACTGTGACAGGTAATGCCGCACCTCAATAGGGAAGTGCTGGCCGTACAATGCCTGCATCTGCCGCAGGGCCTCCCCCTGGAGCTGCTGGGCCTGGATCCACACAGCCATGGTTCAGAACCTGTTGGGAAAAGAGAACACTTGCGAGTTAAATACACTACAGGGAGCAAGAAAAGAGGTCACCATGCCCCAAGTCTAGCACTGAGCCACCTGCTGTGTATCAGGCCAACACAAGGGAGACAGCACCTCATCCTGCTCCAGCCTGGGCTCCCCCTCACAGGACATGCTAACTTGGAAGGGAGACTTCCTGGTTCTGACCTCACAAGCTGCTGCTGGGAAAAGCTTCTGAAGTCACAAAGGCAAGAGCAAGAACTGGTGTAAGGACCCAGGATCTGAGTCACCCTCCATTTTCTAGGAAGAGTCCTGAAAACAATTTAGGGCTGGAAATGATTTCCTTGCAATGCCTTTGCAGTGTGGTAACCATGGTCCCATAGGAATAGGCTATGGCAAGATCACAGACTTGGTCTGGCCAAGCCAAATGAGAAACAATAGCAGCTGGGGAAATGACCCCAAAAATGGAATGAAAGAAATCCAGATTGAGGTCAATGGGAAAAGTCTGTTTCCCCAACAAGTGGCCACAAGCATCACATCACAAGCTAGTGCTCCTGAAGGACCGACCCCATGCTACTGGGACTGTTCCTTTGCCTCCCTGCCAGCCGACACCACCTAGTCAAGTGCAAGCATGATCCCTGGAGGGGCACCAGCATCCTGTTTGCCCTTCATGCTGTCCTCCCACCAGGGTTAGACTGGGATCTTTAGGATCAAGCACTCAGAGTTCTGGTTTGGATGTCTCATACTGAGACAGCCTGGCCACAGTGTGACAAGCCAAGGCCCCATGTCCTGCGCACTGCCAGTGTGGCCCCTGCAGCCAGCACGTTTGGGGCACTAGGGGCTGGAGCCTCTGCAGCCTGAGCCAGGTGCTGATGTACACAAACAGTTTAGCGAGAAAAATGCGTGAGGCTATGACTGGTTCTCCAAGTGGATTCCACAAGCTATTTCAGGCAGGCAGATAGGTGCCAGCTTCTATTCCAAGCCCATGGAGTGACACTTGAGCACGGTACTTTCTTCTGGACTTTTAGGTATTTCCATTGGCTCATTGTAAAAGCACACACGGCAACAACAGACACAAGCCCTGGAGACAGATCTAGAGAGAACAGACAGAGGGACAGCACCTATAAAAAGCAAGAGCTTCACTCGTCACATTGCTATTTGAAGCTCCATGGGTCTTGGAAAAAACAACTCCACGGTCATAGAGTTTTTCAGGCTGATGCAATGGTGAATGTTCAGGACAGGCTCCACAGGAAGCTCAGGCCCCTGCAGAGAGCCGCCAGCCAAGGGGGCGGTGAGGAACACAGCAGGCCAAAACAACAGCGTTAAACAGAGACCAAGCTGCAAAGTCACATGCTCCAAAGTGAAGTTATGCCAGGATGAATGGTGAAATGCAACATGTCCAGGTTTCATCTTCCATGCCAGATTCTAGGGCTGGCCGTACAGTTACAACACAGTAATGTCCAGCAGGGTGAAAGACACTGTAAGCTGAGTTTTAAAGGGCCAAGAGAACTGAGCAGCATATTAGCCTTGCTCCTGAAGCTTTCTGTGTTGCAAGGGTGTGGCGTGCTCTGCAGACATCCTTTAGCTTTACGGGAAAGCTACAAGCTTAGTAATACACAGGAAAGCCGTACCAGGATCCGACACAAATGCAGCATAGTCAGCGCTCTTAGCAGAGATTGTGATCCATACCCAAAGTATAAAAAGCAGATAATAACTGGGAGTTAGCTAAGAATAACTTCTTTTTTAAATACAAAACACATTTCCACAGCCAAAAAAGCAAGCTTGGTTGGTTGGTTAAAAATCCCTCATGGTCAAGAAGAGATGTAAAAACAGTCATTAAAATAGAAATTTAAAACACAAAAGACCAAAAAGGTTGATAGCAGTGAGTACGCACATGCCATTAGGAAATGCAAACAATTGACAGGGGGTCCTTAAAGGTATTGAAAAATCTATGGGTTAGAGACAACTGGAAAGAAATTTTTCACTACATCAGGAACAAACAAACATGGGCAGCTGTCCAAGTCCAGTTCTGGATGAGGACGGTTACTAACCAGGATGCAGAAACAGCAGACACATTCAAATAACTATTCTTAAATGGTTATAACTAAATCAGGATGAACTGTTTGCATCTTACAGAGATAATGAAATGCTTTCTATTCCATTGGGGGGGGGATGTTCAACAGCAGCTATTCAATATTTTTAAATCTACAGCGCTGCCTAAGTAGCTCCTAGGGAGCGTTAAAAATATTGGCTCAGGAGGGGAAGTTCTGAGTTTTTAAAAACACCTTGGAGCACTAATAGATCCTCAGTCAAGGCTGTTTCTGGGAAAGATCCAAAGCAATGGAGAAAAGACGAGTGTATCAGTATTTAGACAGGGCAAACAGCATTACCTAAGTAACAAACAAGCTGTTAGTGCAAAGGCTGGCAGGGTATCACAATCTGGATGGTAGCTTAATTCGGCATCTGATGAACAGAGGTCAGGCTCACAAAAACTTATGCCATACGCCTCTGGCTTAAGTAGTCTACAAGGCACAAATCTACCCTGCCTTCTGCTGCAGCTAAATTCAAGTCGGCCAACCTGGTCCTAGGGAAACTAGGTCTTGACAAATAAACTTGTTACAGGTATCTTGTAAGAGCACACATTCGGCTAATCAACATACTTGTGAAGATATTACCCAGTTGACTTAGCCCCACATGACATTCTGATAAAAGAAAAAAAAGAACTAGACCAAATTAACAGAGTCTGTATTAAGTCAACTAAAAAGCACCTGAATAAGGTACTTACAAAGTAACTGTAAAGGAGGGAGTCATGTAACAGGTGTGCTTCTATGGGGTCTACAAGAATCTGTTCTGGCCCCAGTGCTACTTGGTGTCTTGATCAACCATCCAGGAGAACTTGCTGGTAACATTTGCACCCAGCACATAAACTGGTGAAGCAGCAATGAGGACATCTCAGTTCTACAGCATGACCAGAACCACTTCTCAAGTTGGGCTCATCTGAGCCACAAATATTTTAATACAGCCAAATGCAAGGTCATGTTTTTAAACAGAGTGGAGATCAGCATAATACAGGGGGAAAGGCAGGGACACCTGGATCATGGTATCTAACTGGCTGGACACGCACTCCCAATATCATGTTGTAGTCAAGACAGCAAACAACATCCTTTAATGCATCTTTTATATGCATTAACCAGTGGTTCTCAACCTTTTTGTACCAGGACCCATTTGTAAACATTGATGGCCAGTCCCAAAGCAGTGCCCCTCGTTCCTGACCTGCTGCCCTCAGGCTCCAGCCCCCCCAGGGGGGACATGGGGGGCACCAAGCACCCCTCACAGGATGGAACTCTGCCAGCCTGCAAGGGAGAAGACTCACCTACCCATAGTTTTCTCCTTTAAAGGAGAATCCATTTTTTAAAGTTGGTTGACCATTTTTAAAGTTTGCTCGCAACCCTTTTTATATATTCTTGCAACCCACTTTTGGGTCGCAACCCACGGGTTGAGAAACACTGGCATAAACCATGGAGTATCAAGCAGGGGTAGGGACAGTTTCTCTCTGTACACAGGACTTGAGAGACCTGGCTGGACCCCATGACCAGGTCTGATGTCTGCACTGCAGAAAGGGGAGCGACAGCATGGCAAACAGATTCAAAGGTAAGCTCTAGGGATGCTTTTCACTCTCGAAAACCTGCCTAGGAGGCAAAGCCTAAAGTTCTCAGTTCTCAGCCAAGCTGAAAACTGAAGTGAAGCAAAGACAGACTAGAAAACAGGGGCTATCTTGGCTTTTCCTGCCAAGGGTGTTAACCACGAGGAAAAGCTGATGTAGCAAGGCAGCAGATGCTCTATCACCATAGGCTGTAAATCAAGACCAGCTCCCTTTCTATCAGATACACTTTGCTCAGAGAGAAGAAAAGGACAGGATGCAGAAACGGTTGGGGGAGGTTCTCTGGCCTGTGTTGTATACAGCAGTAGAAAGGCAGAAGAAAATGACTTCTTCTGCAGCCAAATGCAGCACTGGAGAAAGGAAATGCTGTTATCCCACTCCCAACAGCGCACCACCCTTTGAAATCGCCTCAATGCTATCTTGCACCCCTATTGCTGTTTCCATCCATGTATGGCCTCTTGCCTCATATTTTGACTCTCAGCTCTCCCGGACTGTCTCATCTGCCACATTTGTACCGCTCTGAGCAAAGCGAGTTCCTGCTCTATGGGCAGGACTCAAAGGTTTTAAAGCATGGCAGCCCCTAACAGCAGTTAACAACAGACAAGCCAAAGTTACCATGACGGAGCATGGACCAGTTGATCATAAGAGTGTCAGCCACAAGCCTGCAGAAATCTTGAGTCAGGAGTCCAAAAAAGCCCCCAAACTCTAGGTTTTAAAATCCGAGTAATGCATCTGGTGATCTTTTTTTTGCCTGAGCACCTAGGCCATGCTCTACTCGTGTCTTCTGTATTGTCTCTACACCCTACAAATTCACCTTTTTTATTTATTTATTTATTTTTACACAAAAGCTGAGGTTTGTTCTCTTGGATCATCTGATTCTGGCATCTGGAGCTTTAAGGAAAAGGAACCCCAAGCACTCCCAGATTCACAACAGTTGGCACTCTGAGATTAAGTGACTTGCCAAAAGCAAAGGGAGTGTGGAACAAAACCTGAACTGACCACAGCCCTCCTGAGTCTCACTCCAGGACTTCCAACCACTACACATTCCTTTCGCGGAGTCTGCTAAACCTAAGCCACAAGGAATCTGAATAACCAAAACAGTGGCCAACAGATTACAATATGGCAGGAAAATACAATGGCTTTTTGCCACAAGATCAAATAGACCCAGGAGACTGGCAACATTTGTCCTCTGGCAGGCTGCACCCAAGCATTTTTTGAACAAGGTTGATGCATGCAAGTTTTCACATCCACCCCCACAAATCCCAAGAAAGCCACCCCAACCAGACACCAAGACATTTAGCTGCCTCATGGGCAAAGACCTTTATGTTTAAAACTATGTGGGATTGTAG